TTACAAAAGTATTTGATAACTAATAAATGAAATTCGTCTAATATTAATTCTACTAGTAGAGATTACTTCTTTAGATAATAGCGAAATGATACATTTTTGTTCAGAGTTTAAAGAAGTTTCTTTTTCAACTAGATATAATTCTTAAACATTAAAGATATCGTTATATGAATCATAGGGATATTCAATTTATTCTAACTCATCTTGTTCAATAAAGTGATTAGAGTCAGTCTCCTAATCATAGTCAGAAAGTATATCATCTTCTAGTTTAATACTATAAAGATTAGTTTCTCTTAAAAGTTCATCTTTGTATTCTTCTGAATTTTCATTATCTATCGAGGTAGATAAAATTTTAAAGAAGGGTTGATGTTCTTATATGCATTTTATAGATAATTCAATAAATTGGTTATTAATTCTTAGTCTGATTTTATCTTGATCAAAGAACATTCTGACGTCAAAAATTTTGAACTAATTAATTTCTAATAATAAAGTATCTTGAGTTGATTCAATAAGTTATAAATTGACTGTAAATTGAGCTTCTTAAATAATTAATGGGGTGTTAATAATTATTTTTAAAGATCTTTTTCGTTAGCTATCTGCAGTAATAACTATAATATTAGAAGCTTTATGGGATTTCAACTTCAATTTATCTACAAGAAAGGTATAAATAATACAAGCAATAGCTCCTAAATCTAATATTACTTCAATTGAGTTCATTTTGTATTTAATTATACATCTTACTGCAGTATATTTATTATTATTGATATAAGTTTAGCTAAGTTAACATTAACATCTTTTTCAACTCATTCAATTTCTGCTTTTAATTGCTTATAATATTGAGGATTTTTAAGAAGTTGTTTAAATGATACATGAACGTTATGTCTTTTTAAATCTTGAACTATATTATACTTTTGTTTTTAATATAGTTGTAGAAAACTTTATATAAATTAGATATAAGATTTGATGGAAATTGAGATGCTCATTTTCTATTTCAGTTTGAGATTTTGAGTGAATTACAAAAATTTCTTCTTCTTCAGTTTTCATTATGTTTATATTCTTAGACAAGATTTAGTTAAGATTCAAGATTAAGTTTTAGTGGTTGTTTCGGCTTGACAGTCACATGTATAGTATCCTTCTTCTCTACAGTTAAAGCAAATTAAAGGTCACTAAACATATCTATTATTATTTGCATTACTATTATTATATAATCTTTATTCAGGTTTATGATAACAGTTTTAAGTTTTAGCTAAATTTGCTGAGATTTGAACTACTTGTTATTAGAGAAGTTTGACTTGACTAGCTATTATTTATTGTTGTTGAATAGGTTAAGCCATAGAAAATCCAGTTTCTATTTCCTTAGCCTTTTGGATAGCAGCGTTTAAATTATTAGGATTATGTCTTACAACTATAGTCATGCAATATGGTTGTAATTCTCACATAAATTTTCTAACTCTATAATATTATCCAAAATTTTTCATAGGGTTAACTCTATTCATTAAAGTTTTAAATTTTAAAGTGTATTTACTAACTGTTTAACTAGATAATTATTATAGAATTTCTAATTCTGACATTCACTTATTTTTCATGGTAGCATTGACAAATTATCAAGTAAATCAAGATACAAAACTAGTTATACTTCTCAAGGTATTCCAGTTATTGATATTTGTATAGTCTTTCTCATACCATTTGGTTATAGCATCTTTTAAATAACTTGCGACTATTTGATATTTACGATTATTTTGCTATTGATTTACAGTAGCAACTCATTTAAAAGCTATAATCTATTCAAATAGATCTTCATCATCACAACCATAAAAATCACTAAGTCTAATGATATTTAATTCTCTATTTATTGCTATAACATTGACAGGATTTGTTAAGGTTAATCCTTGAAGAGTATTTGTTATTTGTTGTAATAAGGTAACCAATTGATTTAATGAAATATTTACAGTATTATCACCTGAATTATTGTTTGAATTAAAAATAGATTATTACTGTTGTTGTTGTTGTTGTTGATGTTCACTAATATATCTGAATCTAAAATAATAATCATAATTCAGAGGTTGTGATGTATTGAAAATAGAAGAGATAGTAAAAGTAGCAGTAAGATTTAAAGAGTTAATAGGTTTTAAGAAACTTAAACTCGCAATATTTTAGTTTGACTTCATGACATTTTATGAATAGACTGGTTATTTTCCTTTATTAATAATAGTTACAGCAATAGGAGTACTTGAAAGCAAAAAGTTTGTAAAAATATTACTAATTGTACCAATAGGGGTTGAGTTAAATGCTTGACTACTTGAAAATAGTAATTTGTATTCGTCTTGACCAATATCTGAAGGGATAGATTTAAAACTTTGGTAAGAATCTTCTTCACTTTGAAGGTTACGAATTTAAGTTATGTTAAATGATTCTGAGTCAGTAAAGGTAAAGTATTAGTAAAAGTTTCAGGGTCAAATTAATCAGTTAAGGGTGGAGTATTTCTAATATTTGTAGTATCAGTAAATTCAGTTATTTCTTGCAGTTCTAGTATAGTTGTATTACTTTTAAACTAGCAGTTCTGTTAGAAGATTGTGAGGCTACTTCATCTGTTTCACTTTCTGATTCTTGAATAGATTCACTAATATTTAAGATTATTGAGAATACTATCTTTTGAGTAATAGTTTTATCTGCAGAAGAAGAGTTATCAGACAAAGATGATTGAGGTCTGGATTAAATTTCTTCTGAATCTCTTTATAAACATTTTAATTCAAGGATATTACCAATAGCATGAGAGCTTTGGTTAAAGTACTAGTAATATCAGTGAAATAGGATCTAAAGGTTTTTCTTTGAGGTTGATATTGAGTAGTTGAATTGTATATTCTTTTAGAACAAAAAGTATAACTAGGTTGATTTTCAGAGATATTAGATTTCATGTTGATTGATTAAAGGTAGTCTTCTAAAAGAATATCTTGTTGTTTAATAAAGCTCTTAATTCACTCTAAAAATGATAAACTTTTAGTTTTAATGTGATTTGTTAGGCTAATATAAGAATTAAATCAAAGATAATTTGATAGATATTATCTTTTGAGAGGTTAGCAGAAGGTTGATATCAACAAAATTCAACTAAAGCAGAGGTTTAAGTAATAACAGTTGTAGAGATTTTTCAATTATCAGGTTATTTGACTAATTCATAAATAGAGATTCTAAGTTCAGTAAATAGATCAGTCATTTCCTTAAAAAATTGGATTGTTTTGAATTGTAGGAGATATCAAGACTAAAAATTGTCAAAGTTTTCTAGATGTTCAAATTCTTCTTTAATAGGATAACAAATTAAACAAAATATATTAGATATAAGTGCTAAGTTTAAGGGTTCTCCAATGGCAATTAAATAATGTAAACTATTGTGTGCTTAATTTTTATCTGCAAAACTCATATACTTTCTTATGTTTAAATCCTGGTAGAAATTATCACTTTTATCATTGTAGAATTTTTCAACTCAGGATGGTCATATTATCAAGTCTCTACTTGAAATTTCTAATTGCGGTTTATTGTGATCAAAATGTTAGAATTCATCTAACTCTTAACTTTATCAAATTTATGCGTTTAAATTTAAACAAATTTATTAAGTATGAAGACTTGAAAGATAAGATTATAAACAATTTGATTAAAGAATTTGAATGATGAACTTAATTACAAATAATATTTAGAGATTATGTCAGACTATATGAAAATATAAAGAGACAGAAAGATATAAGTTTTGAATGATTCCTTTATTAATATTGAAACTCAATTATTAATCTATAAAAAAGTTAATTTACAATATAAGCAAAAAGTTTATCTATTTATACAAAATTTCTTTTATTACAACTAACTAATTATTATGTTATAAACTAACTAATTAGTAAAATAAAATATAAGTAAAATAAAAATTTGTAAAATAATAAAAATACAAAATATAATAAAATAATAATAAAATTTAGAATATTAAAAATAAGTATAATATTGAGTATTCTTAAATTTTGTTTAATTTATAAAATTAGAATTATTCTCAGTATTTGAAAAATCTGCAGAATTACGTAGATCTTCCGTATTTTCAGAATTTGCAGAATTCTCAGTATTTTCAGAATCTTAAATTAGAAGATTATTATACTGCATCATTCACGTGATTTTATTATGATTGGTAATTGCTTCATTGATAATATTTATTAATACAAGTTAAAATTAAATTATATAATTATTAAATTATAAAAAATATTGTATATTATTTTATAGCTTTTAATATTAAAATTTATATAAATAAAAGAAAAATTTATTATGTAAAATATATTTATCAAAAGTGTATTATTCTAATTATTAATTAAATAATCTTTAATGCTTATTTTATAAAAAAAAATAAATAAATAATTTCTAAAAAAAAAAATGAAGAAAAATATTTATTAATATTTTTATATTAATATTAAATCATTTTTTTGATAAAGAAAATAAAAGAGAATATTTTTAAAATATGAGTAGATTTTTTTTTATTTTATTTATAGATTAAATTATAATTATTATTAAATAGTTATTTAATTTTAAATAAAATCTAATAAATAAGAAAGAATTTTAATTTATAAATTATAAAAATTAAATTAACTAATTTATATAATATGTATTTGATATACCAAGAAAAATCAGAATTAATATTAGTTTTATAATAGTTGATTTACTTAAAAAATTATTTTATATCTAAAATTTTACTAAATAATAAATGCTATAAAATTGGTATTATTAATTGAATATCAAATTTTTATAGGATATTCTTTAAGATTTAAAGTTTAAAACAAGAATATCTATTCAGCATAATATGATGATAATAATTATTTATCACTATATAATAAAAAAATAATTAGCACAATTAGTACAAGCTAATTTATATTACATAATTGATATATGATCAAAAAGTCTATCTAAACTTCTCTTTTTTTTTATTTTTTTACGTTCTTTTCTTTTCTTTTCTTTTTTTACAGTTTTTCCTTTTTCTCTTATTCTTTCTTTCCTTCTATTTTCATATACTTTCCTCTTATTTCCTTTTCAACTTTGTGTATAGTTAAGTAAGCTTAGATTTATTATTAGGATTAGGAGTTAGAATAAAGGTATTTAATTAGAATTAACATAGTGTTAGGATTAGGAAAGATTAAAGTAAAAGCATAAAATTAGAATAATGTGATATTAGCTAACAGTCTCAAATAATGTAAAATTTAATATAGCTTTAATTATAATAGATAGTATAAAGATAATATCAGCAATAATGTTAAAATTAATTATAATTTAAGCACATGCAATTTTAGTTATATTCAACAAATTTGAAATATAATTAAAATATAACCTAGTTCAAAAAAACATTTATCTAAAAAAAAAAATACAGATTGATTTAAGAATTATTATATCATATAATGTAATTAGTATTTAATAATGATGATTAAGAACTGTATCAATAGATAGAACAAATATATTAAATAATAGAAGAACAACTTGAACAAACTCAACCTAATATTATTTTAGCTGAAAAAGAAAATATGAATTCTGAATTCTAACTTTCAATTAAAATCAATAATCTATTTATTAATAATTATACTAAAGATAAACCTTTTAAATATACAAGAATTAAATCAGCTGTTAAAGTATTAAAGGAAAATAACTATAATAAAAGGTTATAAAGGCAATATCAAAATTATAAAGAAAGTTCTAATTATAATTCACATAGTTGTCCTTATTCTTGTGATATTTTTCATAGAATTTGTCAATATATACATTTAATGAACTAATAAAATAAATATAACAAGTTATCTGGTAATAAATAATTATTTACCATTAGAATTATATGGTAATAAATAACAATTTATCACTGATGAATAGCAGAGTTGTTAAAATAAATATAAAATCATATTTTTGAGTTATAAGCTTTTAAAGTTTATAAAATTAGATTTTGTCTTTCTTATGTGAACCATTATATATGATAGTTTAGAATTATATATATAATATTATGACTTTTATAAGGTTTATATATTAAAGTATACTTAGAATTTTATTTGTAAGACTTATTATATATAACAATTTAGAATCTTATGAGATTTATACATTACAATTTAGAATCTTATTAAAGGGGGGTTTTTTTATGAGATTATATATGATGGGCTAAGACCTTATAAAGATATCTTATTTATTGAATCATTACTACCTATTGGTATTATCATATACTTAACGAATTATTATGTTAATTTTTTATCTTAGAAAAAAGAAGCATATTTAGAGATATGAAATAATTATAATTAGTTGTTTAGACAAAAGTTTTATTTCAGATGTATCCTACAATTCCTGTTGACGTGAACGTGGAGAAACAGGCGTTAAAATAATGATCAAATAAACCATGGTGCTAATTATTGATATATTTTTTTTTATAAATATACAGTCAGAGCGACCTTCTCCGATTCATTATAGAAATTTTGAAAAAAAATGTTTATAAGTTTTAAATGTTGTATAACGATTTTTCATATGGTAAAAAAAAATCGTAATAGTTATGTCGAGAGTTCGTTCTGACTAAGAATATTTTCAAAGTTTGTTTACTATATTGGTTTTTGAATAGGATCTAATTTATAAAGATCCTTTGATTTTTATTTTACTTTTTTTTAATAGTTTTTCAAAAGTAATTATACTTTACATATTAAATTGTCGCATCATTATTATCGCAAATCTTGTTTAGTACCATCTTTGCTATGCCGTGTTTTTGAACGATCATTTTACCGATAGCAAAAAAAAAAAAAGCTGTAAGTTATTTAATTTTGCAATTTATAAATAACAAGAAATTGAGTTTATCTAACTTCTCCGCGGAAAAAAATAAATCCATGTATGACTAAGCAGAAATTTTTTTCAACAAACTTCACTAATAATTTATTAAATGTATATATAGTACAGTATATAGATTTTTGTTACATCAAATACAAAATAATTGGAATAATTTTTTTTTTTTTGGTAACTTTCAGGCATATTGTTCTAATATCCCGAAGTTTTTTTAAATTTACATAATTTTGTCTATTCTTCGGGTGGGTACATTTTACTAATCTCATCCGGTAGCTCAATCAATTGCATTACAAGACCTACTTGCATATGCCACTAATCATTGAATAAATTAAATTTCAGTAATTTGCTTTTAAGAAATTTTTAATACAATGGAATACAATTTTATTTTTACCTCCTATAATTTATTCGGAAGTTTAAAAGTGATTGAAAGCGAAAGTTAGTAATAAATCAAATAACGTTTTATGAAAAAGGAAAAAAGGTTGATACCATATGGCAATGATGACCCCACACTCCAGGGTTATCCGCAACAAATCTTAACGCAGACCATCTATCAAAATATATATATATATATATATATATATCAGAAAGATTTCCTTTAAAGGAAAAGAAACGCGAATTATTTCTGATGCAATTTTACCCATTGATAGGTATTGTTGAGGTATCACGTTTGATTGGATTAACTGTATTTAGTGCGGTCTTTTCAACTTTAGTTCCATTCCCAATTCCAAGTAACCAAAATTGATGCCCGTGCTAGAGTTTCGATGCAAAAAAAAAAAAAATATTAGATAATCATATTAAATCGTTACTCTGCGTCATAACAATACTTACCATATGGAACGGGTGTTCACCTTCGTCAGTATCTAATTAAAAAAATTTGTTGAATAATTTTTCTTAAAAGATTAACAAAAGAATTTTACAATAATTAATTCTTACTGATGAAATAAATGTCAACGACTTCTCCAAAAGTGTTAAAAGTAAAAGCATTTTCAGAAATAGGAAGGTTAGCTGCTGTTCCTTCAAAGACTTTTGTCAAAGTCGAAGTAGTTAGATTAGTAATATAAGTAGATCCATTAAGAAAGCTTTATCAATCCCTAATGAATCTTTATGAAACGCGATTTCATGTATAATTTCTCTTGTTGCTTTAGGAATCTTTTCTTCATATAATGGTTGTAAAGTTTTTTGATCTAGATCGATACATTCTTCCAAGAAATCTGTCCACGGATTATCCGTTGGAACAGAATCCTCGGGTGCACCATCATAATGAATTATAGCTTTTACAACAGGAAGGGAAATTGCTTCATCCGGCATACACTTTTTTTGAAATTCGGAACGCATGACATAATTGTCAACATGTTGATCTGCAGTGACGATGACAGAATATCTTTGAGCAACATTGATAGGAAGGCGATGAATTTTATTTCGTTTGGTGTAGGTCCCTTCTACTTCTATAACCTCCATTACATGTTTATCAATTGAAAAGAAGAATGATGAAAATGCGCTAGTGAACAAGTGATCAATATAAAAAAAAAAAAAAAAAGGTAAAATAAATACACAACCGATTATTAATTACACCAGTTTTTTATTCGTAAGTTACCTGGTATTGATGATGCGAAGACGATATCTTTTACTAGAAACAAATTCAAACTTAGCGAGACCAGCATTATCTACGCATGTAGAACCTGTTGGTGCCTTTGAGCAATCGAAATTATTTTTTCCGTTTATCAATCCATTATCGGGAACTGAATCACAATGATGAATTTTTAATTTTCTTCATGCATTCTCATTAACCTCACGACTCATCTAAACCCCTACCTGGCTATAAAAGAAAAATGAATTAATATTGTAAAAAATACTTTGACGTTAATTTTAACTTTAGAAAACACATACTTCTTCACCATCGCGTTCAGGGGTCAAGAAAGATTTCAATAAAACTTGGGCCTCCGTGTGATGATAATCAGTCAACATGACAAGAATTTCCTCATCGTACTCTGCTTTATACGGATCATCAGGATCGTGAATAACTGAAATGAAGCAGATAAATCATTTTTTTGAATATCATCAGAAAGAGAAAAATAAGAAAAAGAAAAATAGATCAATAAATTAACTAACTTAATGCGCCAACAATTCCATCAACATATTGCATTAAGTCATGCGAATGGCTAAAATTAACGTTATCACTGGAGTATTCAAATGCTTTGCATTGAACCCTTAAAAAAGACTTGAAATATACTTACTACCAATAAGTGCCAACTTGGTCGGGAACCGTGAAATTATAGGTAAATGTATAATCGTTTGGTATTTCACATTGGGTCTAATGAAGTCACGTGTTATCAAGGAGAAGTTTTTGATCAATCGAAATAAATATCAACTCACCTGCCCTGGTACCCCATCGTACCTACGAAATTAGTCAGTCGATGAGTCAAATGAGTCAATGATCTTTATTGTTACACGAAACGCAAAATGACTTACCATTGAGTCCCTCTTTGAAAAATTCCGTGAGCATGAATTGCTAAAATTAAAATATTTTTATTTAATATGGAAATAAACGAATTAATCAGATAAATATTCTGCGACTTTACATGTTGGAGCCTCTAACTCATTGCGAATATTCATTACAATACGATCTCCTTTATTGACTTCTATGGTTGGTCCCGGATATTGCCCATTAATTGTTGACATCATACGAGTAAATCCATCTGGAGCGAGGTTAACATGTTTTAGAACGAGATCAAAAGTATTTGTTTTTGATTGTTTTTCCGATGCGCGAGATTCATTGAGATTCTGATTCCAAAGTGGTGTGGGCGAAACTAAAGTCGTTAAAATAATAATACAATAAAGGTGAAAAAAAGACTTTATAAAACGACATGACTATCATTATTTAATGTTTGAAATTAGGTATTTCTGCAGAGTTTTTATATATCTCATTTATAATAACTTACCAAAAAAAAAAAGATATTCAATGTTTAATCTCAATTAATACATTTCCGATTTCGCAAAAGTTCTCCCGAGAAAATTTCGATATCTTGATTATTTATTTTTTTTTTTTTTGTGTAAATTACTATGAATGTTTTAAAGTATATGTGTACAGTACAACGTTAACCAATTATACATAATAGTTGGCGGTATTTGTTCAAAGACATTGTTTCATTTACATAATATATACCTTGGTATCACCGAGATGTTATTTCACCCGTGTTTTTCCTTGTGCTTCAAGGTAAGTTACACCTTGAATATGGAATTCCATACGTTTTGTTTGCAAAATAGTTTTTTTCATGAGGAATCAGGCTTTATAATTGACAAATAAATGACATTTATAGAATTCCGGAATTTTACATAATTTTAAGAAAAAAATCTGATAAGCGAAAAAGGTGTGATTTTCATGTCAAACATTTATCAGATTTAATAAAACTGTTATCAGATTATCAGATATGTATTTTTATATTCAGTAGATAGAAAAAGATGAATACCGATTTAGGTAAAAGAAAAGGTTCTTCAGAAGTGTTCGTGCATAGCTTTACTTTTCCTTCCGATCCAATCAAAAGTAAATCTGATAATTTTGGAAGCTTTGATACTAGATGACGCAAGTTTAAACCATTCGATCCTATAAAAAGGGTGCTTGAAACAATTTGAATTCATTGCGGGCCTATCGCCAAATATACCCTCTCACTTTTTTTTTTATCGCACTTATCCTTTTGTCCGCCTATCGATTAATAACGCTCTTTGTAAATTAAACGTCAATGAAATTTTATTTATCGTAAATCTTTTTTTTATTTACCTTCTTTTCCGTTTTGTAAATTTTGTTCTGGAGAACAAGCTTTTTAAGAGAGTGGCTAATCTGGATCTGGATAAATGCATTGTTTTATTTTAACGACTTTACTTTCGCCCACTCCACCTTGGAATCAGAATCTCAATAAATCTCGCG